AGTAGTATTCTGAGTGCCTTCCAACCTGAAGGCCTCATCTTCTGGTACTATATCTGGTACTGATAATGTTATGCTATTACTCATAAGGTTTTCAATGATTATTCTTCAGAATACGCCATCTCTCCTTCTTACTAGTCAGTGTTAGTCTGAAGCTCCACTGAAACCTGTCCACCATGAATGTGCCTGCCAGTATTTATAAAATAGTGGTGGCATAGCCTCCAGCATCACAGCAACAGATAAGCCACCAGACTATGACAAACTGACAGACTAATAGCAAAGTTTTGTTTTTTTTACAAAAAAAGGAAGGAAACAACAAATGCTGCTGAGGGTATAGATAAATATGAACTCTCATACGCTGCTAGTGAGACTGCAAAATGGTACAAATACTGTGAAAAATGGTATCGTGCTTCATTTCTACTAAATCCTAGAGAAATAAGAGCCGTGACATGATAGACACACCCATGTTTGTCAGAGCATTATTCACAACGGCAAAAAGATGGAAACACTCTAAGTGTCCATTACTGAATGAATGAGCAAACAAACTAAGGTACTTACACACATGGAATATTACATAACATTAAAGAATAATGAATCCATGAAATGCCTCAAAACACAGATGAACCAAGAGGACATTAGGACATTATGCTGAAAGAAGCAATTCAATCACAGTAATACCCATAAGGAACATTATCCTCAGAACAACCAACCATACAAGATCAAAAGAATAGCATCTGCCCAAAAACAAAGCTCAGCAGGCAAGAAGGAACAGAAAAAGATCACAAATGGAAATGGAAACGCAAGGAGGAAATAGGAAGAGTGCTGTTACACTGGTGATGGTTATGTGCCACAGCACCAGTTCCAACCCATAGCGACCCTGTATAGGCTTTCCTAGGAGCAACTAGTGAGCTTGAACCACCAAGCTTGCAGATCAAACCAACTTTGCAGTCCAGTGCATTAACCACAGTGCCATAACAGGACTCCACTGTTACACATTAGGGGATTGCAATAAATGTCACAAAACAAACAAAAATATATGTTATTGAATGGAAAATGAATATGCTGTGGAAACTTTCACCTAAACTACAAGAGAGATGAGGTTTTTTTTAAAAAGCATAAAAGAAAGAGCATATTCTTTGTCTCTACTATTCTCTCTATATATCAAACAGAAATATTCAAAATAGGAAAACATATATGTGAAAGAAACTGGAAATTTCCCACATGTCTCTCAAAAGGACATTAGTTAAGTACTGTATATCAACACAGTGGAATGTAGACACTGTAAAAAATAGGAAATATCTATAAATGTAGAAATATAAACCTATTTATTATATATTTTTAACCGACTGCCATCAAGTTAATTTCAACTCACAGAGACTCTACAGGGCAGAGTGTAACTGCTCCTTAGAGTTTCTGAAAGTGTAACTCTTTCTTAAGACAGACAGCCTCATCTTTCTTCCACAGAGTGGATGACGGGTTTGAACTGTCAACCAACCTTGCAGTCCAATGAGTAACCTACAGCACTGATACTATTTGTAATATGATGCCATTGTTATTTTCAAATGCTAAATTATACACTTATTTATATACTTATCTTTTCATGCTTAGAAAACTCTGAAACGCAAATGTGATAACTACACATTATTTAAATTTTGCAATTTATCAGCACTATTTTTATTTTTTATTTATGTAAGAACATACAATGGTTAAAAGTACAGATTCTAAGCCAACAAGCTGGATATGCAAGACTACCACCTACTTAGCAGTATGACCTGTCTGCCTCCATATGTAAAAAAGAAGACCAAAACTATTACTAATAACAAAAACGGCTATGTTTTAGAACTATGGTGAGGGTAAAATGAGTTAACAAATGGGAAGCACTTGGAGCAACACCTGGCACTGAACACGCACTGTCAGCCAGTCATCCACAGACCGCATTTTAAAAGACGTTAAGTTAGCCAAGTCATGCTCCAGATGCCCAAAACAACAAATAAACGATCAGTTGGCATTTACTACAGCAACTACTGGTTTCATGTTAGTATCCGATACTCTATTTTTGTGTTTTGAAATTATTCTTAGAGATTTTTTGTCAAGAAAGACAACGGAATGCCTAGGACTAAGACAACACAGGGCACAGATCTGACCTCCACTCACCTGTATAAAGAGTTCCCATCTGTCAAAGAAGAAAGGTAACTCAGATCATCCCTAAAGTCGCTTATAATGCCAAGAGTCTAATAGCCTAATAAGAAAACTGTACTGCATAAAATGATTACTTATTTTTTTGTTGTTAAGTGCTGTCAAGTCAATTCTGACTCATAGTTACCCCATATAAGGTTTCCAAGGAGTAGTTGTTGGGTTTGAACCACCAACCTTGTGGTTTGCAGTCCAACACCACATCAGGAGTCCATATATCTTTATTGTTGCCTCAAAATAAATTAATTAATTAAATATTGCTAGCCAGCACCACCTGCACCAGAAATACAATTCTATATTAACACATGTTGTTGTTGTTAGGTGCTGTCAAGTTGGTTCTGACTCATAGTGGCCTTATGCACAATAGAATAAAATACTGCCTGCACCATCCTCACCATCACTGTTTAGCTTGAGCAGATGGCTGGGACCACTGTGCTAATCCATCTTGTCTTTTAATTGCTTTCCAACCTGAGGGGCTCATCTTTTGGCACTATATCTGACAATATTACGGTGCTATTCATCATAGGGTTTTTTGGTTTGTTTTTGTTGTTATGGTGGAAAAGATTTATTAGTCTGTACAAGTTGGTTTTGATACTTGTTACAGTAAATGATCAAGATTTTTCACTGAAACAGTGTTTTTCCATACACATCAGAATCTGGAAGCATTATGCCTTTCTCAAACTGTCACTTAGTATTTTTACCTTTCCCCCTACCCCCACCACACAAAATACAGAAACAGGTTTGTAAGTATCAACTAACCATTTCCAGAAGTCATAAAAAAACAAACAGATTCATAAATATACAAGTTACAGTTGTGGTATATGGACAAACATAGCCAACATTCATATAAAAAGGGAGCTGATTTTAAAAGTTATAAGAACTACATGAATTACAATAAATACACTATTCAAGTCCTTCTGAAAACAAAATGAGGAGAAATCTTATTGTCATCTGTCAATTACCACATAACTAAAATGCTACACAAAAGGGCCGTGAACACAATGTACAGGCCACAGAATTAAAAGTCTAGTTAAATGACTGAGTTACTCATCAAAGTAAATTAAAAAGACCAAACTTCTTTAACATATTAATGCTAGTTTAGAAGCATTATCAGAACAAATAAAGATTTAATTATAAATTGGCCTTGGAGTCCTGGTGTGGTGCTGCGGGTTAATGGGCTGGACTGCCAGGTCGGTTTGAACCACAAGGTCTGGGGAACAAGCTCACCAGCTGCTCCTCGGAAACTCTATACAGGGTCACTATGAGTCAGAACTGACTTGACAGCACTCAACAACAAACAACTTTCTGTAAGTATAATCCTTCTTAATACTAAAAGAGAATCTGTCAGCAAACATCCTGAAAAAACTGTGGAATCATGTTCTTTATTATTCTGGAATTTTGCCAGGTTTGATAAATATGTATACATTCCAGAGTTCTAAGAGTTCCAGATGTCAAGTAATTCAATAATCAATAGGAGTATTTAAGCAAAAAGGAAACCAAAAAGCAGACCTTGTATCAATATATACTAAATAAATGGATTTTTTTAAATTACAGGTAACTGTAAACCATAAAATCAAAAGGTATACCTTTCATGGTACAAAAAAAAACCACCTGTAGACTACAAACTGTGCATGCTTAACATAACATGTTACCTGGGAAAGCTAAAGAGTAAGATTTCTAACAAATATTTACTGTCATGATGCAAAACAAAATGTGCAAGCTACAAGGTCCCTAAAATAGCAGTTAAAGAGTTTATATACACAAAGATGTCATTATCTGTAATTGATTTCTGAGGAGCAGCTGGTGGACTTGAAATGCCGACCTTTTTGATTCAAACTAACCTTGTGGTCCAGTGCATTATCCTGCAATGCCACACTAGGATTCCATTAACATATATTTTGTGGTTGTTATTCATAGCGACCCTGTATAGTGTTTCCAAGGAGTCGCTGGTGAGGTTTGAACTGCTGATCTTGCTGTTCAAACCGACCTTGCAGTCCAGTGCATTATCCTGTATTGCCACACCAGGATTCCATCAACTCCATGTCGTTGTTGTAAAGTGTCGTCGAGTTGGTTCCAACCCATGGTGACCCTGTATAAGGTTTCCAAGGAGCAGCTGGTGAGCTTGAATCACCGACCTTGCAGTTCAAACAGCTTTGCAGTCTGATGCATTAATCCACAGCAACACCAAAGAACTCTAGCATTAACATATATGTTGTTGTTGTTATGTGCCGTGGAGTCAGTTCCAAGGCTGTAAATCTTTATAGGAGCAGAAAGCCTCCTCTTTCTCCCGCGGAACAGCTGGTAGTTTTGAACTGCTGACCTTAAGATTCACAGCCCGATTCGTAACCACTACGCTACCAGAGGTCCCATTTAAACAAACAAAAAAATGCACTGCAGTAAAAAGAAACTTCTACCAGAACATCCTGCAAGGTCGGCGGTTCAAGCTCACCAGTTGCTCCTTGGAAACCCTATACAGGGTCACTATGGGTTGGAACCAACTCAATGGCACTTCACAACAACAATAACCAGAACATTATAAATTACAGTTCTTTACAATCATTCTATACATTCTATAACTCACACTTTTCAATCATTTAAATGGCTTCTTTCCACCAGCTGTACTCCCTCATGCCATAAATACAAGTCAGTGGTATTTTACTTTATATTCACCAAGACTCCATCCTTCATAACTGTTGTTGTTAAGTGCCTACATGGAATAAAATAAGCAACTTTTTCTACCAGTTAAGACTTTCAAATACACTGCACAATGGACGTGCATAGAACACTCACAAAGATCACAAACCACTTACACGAAATGCTGCAAGAATAATTCTCGTTACTTTTTCTTTGACAGATTCTTGAAGGATATCAGACAGAACAGGAATGATATTGTAGCGCCGCAGGTGTTCACACATTTGAGGACTGAACGCCAGGAGCCATATTGAAAAAATCATTTGATACTGGAGCTGAAAGCCACATTTGTTACTCAGAACTCCCATTATGCTGAAAATAAACACAAATTTAGAAAACACATTGAATATAACAGCACAATATGAATGACATAATGATTGATTGCTTTCCATGTGGCCAGGAGTCCAGTACTGATCATTCAGTGCCCCACTAGGTAAAGTAGAGGTGAAAAAGAGAAAGGCCCTCAGTGATATGGATTGACACAGCGGCTTTAACAATGGGCTCAAACACTGGGAATCTGTGAGGATAGCACAGGACTAAGCATGGGTTTGTTCTACGTTTTGCAGGGATGAGTCAGAATCAACTCTATAGCACCTAACAACAAACAACATCAACAAAACTATATACTGAGTCCTCTGATTCCTTCTACTGAATCTCCAAATATATACAGCAGTCTTGGGACATCCTGACACGGCTTGAACAGAGTTGAGAATTATGAATCTTTTATTTCCTGTTCATAATGGCAATTAACAGAGGAAGATGCTTCATAATTATTAGATAAATCAGAAAACGAAGGCAAACAGGCAGATAGTAACCTATTCTCTAAAAATGATGGTCAAATTGGTCATATAAATGAAATCTCAAATTATAAACCTTTAGATGACTATCATAAATGAATTTTCTCAAACTCAAGAATCAATAAGTGAATAATATATTACTAAAGATACAACAAAATATGATATGCTCATGGACTCAACCATTCAACATGAAAGCCCTCGAGACACTACTTTATGACAAGAACCTGGACCACTCTGTTTTGTTAAAAGGACATGTGAAGGTTGGCTTTCATCATTTATGATGCTTGTGTACTAAAATTTACAAATTACAGAGAGATGTGCTATCTTGAAATTTGCATTAAAATTTCTAAATAGTTACTTTCACTACATTCTTTACTCTTAATTCTGTTAAAAGTTTATGAAATAACTAACTGTACATACATATACACATAAATATATTAAATATATCCACATCTATATGGCAAATTGTGGAGATTATTTTATCTGCTATGTTGTTGTTGTTAAGTGCCACTGAGTAGATTCCAACTCACAGCAGCCCTGTATAGGGTTTCCAAAGTGTGACTAGTGGGTTTGAACTTCCAGCCTTGAGGTTCAAATTGACCTTGTAGTCAAGGGCTTATATCAACAGAAACTTTGTAGATTAATCTAAGAATAATTACTAGTTTACTGAGTCAATGAACTGACTACAACTAAGGTACTCCAATGAACTAGTACAAATGACAAAAAGCAAGTGTAATTCATAAGAACAGTCATTTGCAGGAGACACTTGCTCAAAGAGGTTGCAGGCAAATGTGGACTGGGTAGATCTAGGTTAAATCCCTATGCTGGATGTGGGCACACCAGTCTACAAGCGTCTGATACCATTAGCATAAAGATCTTTAAATTAACTCTTCTTGCTCTAAATCCTAGTTTACCAAGCCACCTTCTGTTCACAATCTAACTTCCAATACAGACTTTCCAACAGACAAACAATGTTCTGAATAACTACAAAGAGGATTTGGTTTGAACGCAGTTTGTTAAATCTTTTGCTATGAATAAACAAACTGGCTTTCTGTTCATAAAACAGAATTTTGTTTGGCTGGGAAATTTTAAGTTGTTTGTATAAGTTTAAACCTGAATAAGCAGTTCCTCAAAGTTTCTAAGTCTGTAAACAAAAATCCTACAGAGATAATAGCTCGTATATGGCATTATAAGGAATGGTTTATATTCAATTTTTTTCTAGGTAAGACATTTTCTTGTTGATTTTTCTGCTTGCATTCACCACAAGATATTTTTATTTTTATTTTATTTATTTATTTTGTATTCTGAGTACCTGGAACCACAAGGTCAGTGGTTCAAAACCACCAGCTGCTCCGCAAGAGAAAGATGTGGCTTTCTGCTCCCAAAATGATTTACAGTCTTGGAAACCCTATGTAGGGTCTCTCAACAGCAGTGGGTTTGGGAGTTAAACCTCTTATAAGGAGTCTCTAGGTGACACAAACACGGAACATCTTGACTGCCAACTGAAAGTTTGAAAGTTTGAAGTGGCTTGGAGAAAAGGCCTTGTAGACAAGCCACTGGAAACTATATGGAACATAACTGTACTCTGACACATATGGGGTCGCAATGATTCAGAATCAACTCCTCAGCAACTGATTTATTTTGGGGGTTTTACAGTCTTGTTTGTTTTTGTTTTTAACTTTATAGCAACACAGCCCAAAGAAGAAACAGTTTGACAGTACTTTCTAAAAATGCTAACATACATTAAGAAAACATAAAAAAAACAAAAAGAACACTTTTTATATAATTACACCTATTAATTTATTTGAAAATGTCAAGGAGAGATGCTTTAAAAAGTTACTCTGCATTTAAAGTACAAGTGCACTTACCAGTTTACACCATCTGCCTCAACCCAGGCAAAGCGGTACTCATTAACCCGAAGCATCAGCTGAAGACACCCAGCAACACATTGCACGTACTGAGAACTCTACACAAGAAAAAGTGCAAGGCTGTAAAACTGGGAAGCATGTAAAGTCATGAGGTCACTTACAATTATTCCTGTAAGAAAAGTCTGGAATTTTTATGCGTGCTTATTATAGCATCAAAACATTCAAAATCCCCTAACATCTTTTCAAAAGTCAGTCCTCGTGTCTGCTTTTATCTCTACCTCTTAGAAATGAAGGTAATTGTATCTCCCAAGCTAAGCTCACAAGATTGAAGACTATTTAACACACATAGTAAGGAAAAATCAAGGAACAAAGTAACGTTAATATCTTTAATATGGTCTGATAAGCATATTGTTCTACAAAATTTTATTTACCCCTCAATAGAGGCACTGTATTGAGAATACTGCTTTATGTAATTATAGAAATATCAAAGAAAAACAAAAAAGATTAACATATAAAAGAGCACATGTTTTGAGACTGGTCTATATTTCAATGACCTTGGACAGGTAACTGAACCTCTCCAATACTAAGCTTCTTCATAGGGATGCAACTTCCAAACACCTTGAGCAGATACTGTTAGGATTATACAAACTAGCATACAGAAAGACATATCATAGAAACTAAACAAACAGGAACTTAAATTAAAAGCCAAAAACGTTATAACATATTAAAAGTCCTAAATGCGTCAAAAAGACTGGTACTGAAAACAGTGTCAATTCAATAGCACCATCTCACAGAAACTGTGGTTAATATCTGAAACATGAAATAAACAGAACTAGCATCCCCAGGAAGCTGCAGGTCTCTCCATTTTGCGAAAGTAAGTAAGAATCTCTGACCTGGACTGGTCCCTAAATAGTTACAATGAGCCTTTTTTGATAAGTAGAAAGAAGAGAGGAAACTGCAGGTTCCAGCTTTAACAAGGAACACGCTAAATTTTAACATGTATAAAGGAAAGTATCATGGAAGTTATATAAATGCACAAAACCTAATACACATGACATTATAAACTCTGCTTTCTAGTTTAAACATTCTTAAAAACATCAAAGAAATTCCAGACACTCAAATTTTAAAAGTACAGTAATACAAGTACATTTCATGGAAAACTTGAAAATCATCAAGAAAGGATTTTCTTAGATTTTTACCTAGAAAGTAGTGTAAATAATTACACAAAAACATAATGTCATTTATATAATTCGTCTCAAGACTCAAAACATTAGCATAAATTAATAATAAAAATGTGCATTTTCAGCTCTAAAACACTCTTTTGTGAGGAAAACAAGTTATATTTTCCAAATTAAGTTGAGAAGGAGGAATTCCATACTGCTTGTTCAGAGAGCCTGCGCAAGGTTTCCAGAGATAATCAACCAGAAGGCAACTGAGAGCCCTCTCTCACCTCTTCCATTTATCATCAGTGTCTTTCAATGAAAAAAATGTTGGGTTCCATTTCGTTTTTTGTTCCCATTTGAAAGGATCTGTTAGATAAATCGCAAATCTCAAATACGGACTCTTTGTTGTTGTTTATGGTTTCTATTTTCACATTATAAACAAAAGCATAAACAATGTTCATCCTAAAATTTACAGTATGCTCTCCTATTACACGTTGCAAGTAGTCCCCAGGTTACAAACAGTAATCGGTTCCTCAATGTTGTCTTTCAATTGAGTTTATAAGTATGTTGGAACAGATGCATAAGATTCTTATTTAGTCTTCCTTTAAAGCAAAACAAAAGCCCAAAGCCTTTTCAGTGGTTTCAAAGCTGCAAGTGAAGGTAACTGTGATGAAGAATTTCTTGACAATAGGGATTGGGTGAAAAGCCCTGGTAACTTGGTGGGTTTCAAGCTGGGTTGCTAACCACAAGATCAGTAATTCAAACCTACCATCCACGCCTCAGAGAAAGATGAGCTTTCTGCTCCTGGAGATTCACAGCCCCAGAAACCCCAGATAGGGTCACTAAGCATCAGGACCAACTCTGCGCCACACAACCACCACCACTACCAAGGGGCTGGTACAGAGTAGGGTTTGGGTCAAGCATTTCAAAGTGCGGGCAAATCTACATAATATAAAGTACAAGCTGACTGTCATACAATCATAACCTGGGAACTGCTTGTTACAATGCAATCCAAATACCATTGCAAAGATCACATTCAAAATCAGTTAAGACAACATGGTAAACATTTAAATTCTTATCTTCAACTGAGCAAAGTAAGTTGCATGCTTCCTTGTCTTCCACTTGTTTTATTGTTAAGTGCCCTCAAGTCAGTTTCGACTCATAGAAACCTTTTTACAGGGTTTCCAAGGAGCGACTGGTTAGTTTGAACCACCAACCTTGTAGTTCAAACCAACCTTGCAATTCGGTGCTACATTGCCACACTAAAATTATTCAGTGATTTTATTTATTTGTTTGTTTGTTTGTTTGTTTGTTTGTTTGTTTGTTTTTAAGAATTACCAGCCATAATCGCTACTCCTACATATGGATAGTTCAATCCTGGTGCGGCACTGTGGTCTAATGCACTGGACTGCAAAGTCGTTTGAACAACAAGTTCGGTGGTTCAAGCTCACCAGCCACTCCTTAGAAACCCTATACAGTGCTGCTATGGGTCAGAAACAACTTGACAGCACTTAACAACAATAACATAAAGATAGTCCAATACTGCAGGAGAAAGATCGTACACTCACACACAAAGTCATGTAAATCACACCACTATGCAAAGTGTGACTGCTCTGTAAGATAAGCACCAGACTGTGAGACACAAGGTCAGTGGTTCAAGTTCACTAGCCTCTCTGTGGGAGAAAGATGAGGCTTTCTGCTCCCATAAAGATTTACAGCCTGGAAAACCCTATACAGGGGCACTATGAGTCAGAACTGAGTCAACAGTACTTAACACCAGCACCAAACAAAGCCATCAGGCAATTCTAGTCTCTGACACTCCCCAGGCTGGGTCTCAAACACACACCATTCTCTTCCTCCTTTACTCTCCTCCCTCACTCCCAGCAGAAAGAGAAAATAGAGGCCACTAGTCCAAGTAGGCAGTGCTCAACACCAACCTCCAACTTCCTAAACTTAACCTACATTTACAACCCGTCCAATTTGTTTCTCACCTAGGAGACATGAATGGCCTCCTTTTGTCCAAGAATGATAGCTGCAGCAGTTTCTATCCCATTCCTCCCAAATAATACCCCATCAAGCACACCCCAATCCTGCATCTTCAACTTCGACTTTTCATTCATCTCCCCATTTCAGCTTCTAAATACTAAATCTATTTTCTACCTACAAACTATTCCTAGACCAGGCTAATTAATATCTAAAATTTATAGAAAACTACAATATCTATACAAGAAAAACAACAACAACCCAATTAAGAAAAGCACAGGACATTAACAGACACTTCACCAAGGAAGATATTCAGGAAGTCAACAAATATATGTTCACGGTCTTTAGCTATTGTTTTTATGTGCTGTGGAGTCGTTACTGACTCATAGCAAACCTGCATGGGGTTTACGAAGCTGTAAATCTATATGGGAGCAGAAAGCCTCAACTTTCGCCCATGGTACAGCTGGTAGTTTTGAACTGCTGACTGTGAGATTAGCAGCCCAATTCGTAACTACCACAGCTTCTTTTTAGTTATTGTTGTTGTTGTTGTTAAGTGCTGTCGAGTCAATTCCGACCCATAGTGACCCTGTATAGGGTTTCCAAGGAGCAGCTGGTGAGCTTGAACTACTGACCTTGCAGTTCAAAGGACTTTGCAGTCTGACGCATTAGTCTACAGCGTCACACCAGGACTTCTTTTAGTTATTAGAGAGATGCAAATCAAAATAACAATGAGATAGCATCTCACACCAGCAGTTACAGCAAAGTTTAAAAACAGAAAATAACAAATGCTAAAGAGGGTGTGGAGGGATTAGGATCCTCCTACATCTCTGGTGGGACTGTAAAATGGTTCAATCACTTTGGACAATGGTGTGGCGCTTCCTTACAAAGTTGGAAATAAAAACATCTTATGACCCAGCAATTCCTCTACTTGATATATATCCACAAGAAATACGACCCAGAGCACGAGTAGATATATGCACACCACTGTTCATCGCAGCACACTATTCACAACAGCAAAAAAGATGAAGATAGCCTAAGTGCCTATCAATGAAAGAATGGATAAACAAACTCTGGTACATACACACAATGGAATACTATGCAACCCTGAAGAACAACAATGAACCTGCAAACCACCTCATAACATGGATGAGCCTCAAGAACATTGAGCTGAGTGAAATTAGTCAATCACAAAAAGGCAAATATTCTATTATTGTAAAAGCTTATAAAAAGCTTTCCATACTAAAGAAAATGTTCTTTGATGGTTACCAGGGGTTATGAGGGAGGGGAAAGTAATTCACTGACTAAAGGGCAGACACATGTTAGCTCAGGAAACAGAGAGGGCAATATACAAGGAGGAAGAGAGCAATACAAGAACAAGGAGGGTGGCAGATGACTGTGAAACTACATCACAGTCTTCTGGCCAGTCTTCAGTTGTCAGCCCCTCTTCACCTACAAGTGTTAAGGGGGAAAATCCTAAAAGGCACATTTCATATAGTCAAGTGCCTCACCACGCCCCTAGGAAATCAAGCCCTACGGGTCTACCAAACAGAAAGGGAGTTCAAGTGGGATATTGCTCCCAGATCCCCAATAGGGAAACACTTCAGAAAGATCCTGCTCTTATTACAAAATGGGTTCTTTCTGCAAGACTGCTAAAAATCAATGAATTGCAGAATGAAGTTACTGAATTCCAGGTCAAGCTAGCTGAACTGCTAAAAGAAAATAAGGCTTTGAAAAGACTCCAGTACCAACAGGATAACGCCCTGAATAAGTTTGAAGATAACAAAAATGAAATCTCACAATTTATACTTCAACATAACAATGAGATTACAGCACTCAAGGAATGCCTAAGAAAATGTGAAGAGAAAGAACGAGCAACTGAGAAAAGGGTAAAAGATACAGAAAGGTGAACTATCTAGGATGAAATTTTCCTTAAAGAAATTGAAAAAGATCTC